CCCCCGTTTCCTGGACCCAGCAGCCTCTGTGCCCCCAGCCCCTCCCCCAGGGCCTGCAGGTGTGCTCCCTGTGGACCACTCAGCCATGAAGGGGCCACACTGGTGACCTCTGCCCTCTGCCAGAGAGTTCCCACGCACAGGAGGGGCCGGGGACTGGGCACAGTCTGGGGCTAGGCCCCACCCTCCCAGACCACCAGGGTGATGGTGACCGTGTGCAGCCTACAGAAACTGGGGGGTGGGCCTGGCGGTAAAAGGTGAGCCACCAGGTGAGGGCTGGGACCGGGGAGCAAGGCAGGCGACGCATCCCCAGGGTCCCCACACAGCCCTCACCACCCTCATAGGAACTGGAGGGAAGGTACCCCACAGGGCTCGGAAGGGCTTCAGGGGCTCATGAAGGGCACGCCACTGCTTCTGACCCCACTTCCCGGGTTCACCTAGCTGCCTGGTTACCTGACACCCCATCTCTACTCCCCTCTTGTTAGCTGAGCCCAGCGTAGGTCAGCTTGTGGTGGCTGCTGTCCCCAGCCTCATGAGGGTCAGAGTCCAGGGCTGCAGCTGGAAAGCCTGGCTGGGTCAGCGGGAGCTGCCTGGCAAGGCCCCGCCCAGGCTCAGGGCCAGAGGGAAACTGAAGAGCAACCTCTCCCATCGCCCACACGCCGAGCAGACACTGGGGAGCAATTTACCACCCCCTCTGTGCTCTCCGGTTCACACTGGGGAGCAATTTACCACCCCCTCTGTGCTCTCCGGTTCCCAGGCTGGCGCTGGGAACCAGCTCCTGCTCCTTCCAGGCTGAGGGGTGGGGCCCCAGGCACAGGGAGGCCAGGCCCTGCCCTCCTCTCTCCAGGCCTGTTCCCCTGCCCATATCTCCTGGCCTTTCCAAAGTGCTGGCCCGCCCTCTCCAGGAAGCCCTCCAGACCCAGCCTGGCCTCCCAGGACCACAGAACCACAGGTCTGAAAGGCTTTGGAGGCTCCCAAGGCCGCCCCGAGAGGCGGCCTTGCTGGTCAGCTGCCCCTGTTCCCATCAGACCACCAGACCTCAGCAGCCCTTCCCAGACGGACAGATGGATGGACTGAGGGTCAGCCAGGCCCCTAAGCTTTCTAACCCTGCTGCTGGGGATGTCTCCACTTTCAAATAGCCCACAGGAGCCCCCAAACTCAACCTGCAGCTGGGTGGGGACAGAAGCCTGACACTGTGAGGGACCCCATTGTCCCACCAGTGGGCCTGGGGCTTCCTAGATTTAACTAGCTGTGTGCGTTCATTCATTCACTCACTCACTCGTTCACCTGGGAGGCACCTACGCACTGTCCTGAGAGGGAAGAGAAGACTGGCTCTGGCCTCCGGCCTGGCAGGAAGCCCCCATTTTGGGCGCCCTCTCCCATCCCCCACCCACTGGGCTGTCTTCCTAACTGGCCTCAGTAGGAACCTTTCAGATCCACACATGCACACCTTTGCTTGGCTGGGGCCCAGCTGGGAATGCCATCCTTCCCTCCTCCTTTCTAGTAAAATCCTGCCCATGCTTTAGAGCCAAGCCAGATGCCACCTCCAGGAAGCCGTCCTCTCATCCCCCAGGTCTGGCCCTGAATTGGTCTGCAGGGGAAGGTGCAGGGCTGGCTGGGCTGAGTGGGGGCCAGAATTCTCACCTGAGCCCTCTTGCCACCCCTCACCCCACCCTGCCCACTAAGACCCCAGGCCACCCACCCCACTCAAAACCCAGTGGGTCAGGCAGACCCTGCCCCGTGTCCACCTGAAGCCACTAGCAGGCCCCAGGGCGGCTGGCCAGGGCCTCCCAGGCCTGATCCTCCCTGGCCCCATGCTGTGCTCACCCGTGTCCGAGGCTGAGACAGCTTTGGTCAGTATGCTGTCGGTGACCACGTTGAGGGTGCACAGGCTGAAGACCAGGCCGGGCATCAGGAGGCAGAAGTGAAAGACGTTGGACATCAGCGCCTGGCATGGGCAGGGCAGGGGCCACAGTGATTGGGGGCCCCCAGGAGGCGACCGCAGGAGGGCCCATCCCTTAGGTCCCATAAAGGTGGCCCTGGGTGGCGGTGGGGCCCAGGGGCTCGAGGACAGACCAGGTAGGGGTCGGGGAGTGGGCCGGGGCCCTGCTCTCTGCGGGTGTAGCTGGTGGGGGGTGCTCTCACCATGGCCAGTCCTGTCACGCTGAAGACGAGCACACTGGCCCGGAGCAGCGCGGCTTCTGAGAAGTGGCTGCTCAGCCGCCCAATGACCAGGCCTTGGATGACCTGCGGGAGGAGGGGGGACAAGGGGAGGGTCGACTTTGGCCAGCACCCCCCAGCTGGGGGACCTCCACACCCTTTGCAGCTCAGCCCTTAGCAGTGACCAGTTCCAGGGCAGAAGGGAGGGCCCCAAGGTCCCTGAAGAGATGGGGGGCTGAGGGCCTCACCCATGCACACAAGCACTCGCACACGCACCCACACACGTGCATGGCCAGCCACTCAGAGGTCTAGTGTTCACACAACTAATCCGTCTCTTTAATTTCAGGCAAGATGAGTGTTCACATCCAAGAAGGGCCACTTCACGGCTGACGGGGGCGGGGGATGCACTGGTTACAGTGCAAAAACGCCTTTTATCATTTGAAAATGCTCAGTGTGGCCCCGAGTCCAAGCCTGGGGACCCACGTGGTCCTGCAAAGGCCCCTCCAGGTCCCCTCTCCCCAACTACGCCTCCTCAGCCCCTCTTTGTCTGCTCACCTGGGAGGCAGGGCCTGCCCATTTCACAGATGGGGAGACCGGGGCTCAGAGAGGAGGCGGTTGCACTGGGACCTGCGGGTCTCAAGGGGTCTGCGGGCTCCAGCCAGGGCCAGGCTCGGTCTCCAGGGCCTGGGCTCTGACCCGAGCAGGCTGGGAACAGCCGTGTAGAACGAGGCTCAGGGGCCTTTGGAGCGTTACTGTTGTTGTTGTTGTTTTCTCTGTTTCTCTCTCCCCTCCAGTGTGGCCCTGGCCGCAGAGCTGGGGCCCGCTTTGCCCACAGTGGGTGGGGGCAGGTCCTCCTGGGAGAGGCTATTTCAGCACCAAGGTCTACACTGGTCCTGGGCCAGGAGGCAGGGAGCAGATGGCTGGGAGGTGGCAGGAATGCCACCAGCTTCCGGAGAGGTCAAGAGCCCCTCCCCTGCTCCAGCAGGTCCCAGAATAGCCCCTCCCCCGGCCCGGCTGTCAGGCAGCCGTCCTGGGTGGCGGCAGAGCGTCACCACCTGTCCCAGTCACCCCAGGGCCTGGTCCAGATGCCCAGGAGGAGCTAGGGCGGCTGAGCATGGGCAGGGCTCGCCCTGGGCCTGGAGCTGGGGCTGGCTCAGCACCCACTCTGACAGCAGGGTACCAGAGCTGGGGTGCTGCTGGCAAGGCCCCCGAGGCACTGGCGCCCTTCCGTGCGCTTTGCCACATTAGCTCATCTAATCAGCCCGCTGACCCCGCCAACCCCACGAGACCCTGCGGGCAGTGCTGCGGTTCCCTCGTGGACAGACACAGACCGGGACTCGGAGGCGTGGAGCGCTGGGGAACTGGCCTGTCCACGGCTGGCCCACAGGACTCAGGGCCGACTCCTCCTTCCCTAGGCCCAGCACTGGGTCTGTCCCTCTTGTCCCGCTGCCACCGGGCACTCAGAGGTACACTCGGGGAACCAGGGACCCGGACATGCTGTTGGACAGGAGGCCAAAGGTGCGCCAGCCTCCACCGGGAGGAGTCCCCGCCGCCCTCTGAGATGGGACCCCGGCAGGTGGTGGGCTGGCAGTGGCCTGGGTACAGTCAGTGAGGGAGCCCACGGGGGGTGGGCAGAGAGGGCTCGGAGAGGCAGGAGCGGAGAGTAACTGCACAGAGCTCAGCGCCAGCGGGAANAGGGGTCTGCGGGCTCCAGCCAGGGCCAGGCTCGGTCTCCAGGGCCTGGGCTCTGACCCGAGCAGGCTGGGAACAGCCGTGTAGAACGAGGCTCAGGGGCCTTTGGAGCGTTACTGTTGTTGTTGTTTTCTCTGTTTCTCTCTCCCCTCCAGTGTGGCCCTGGCCGCAGAGCTGGGGCCCGCTTTGCCCACAGTGGGTGGGGGCAGGTCCTCCTGGGAGAGGCTATTTCAGCACCAAGGTCTACACTGGTCCTGGGCCAGGAGGCAGGGAGCAGATGGCTGGGAGGTGGCAGGAATGCCACCAGCTTCCGGAGAGGTCAAGAGCCCCTCCCCTGCTCCAGCAGGTCCCAGAATAGCCCCTCCCCCGGCCCGGCTGTCAGGCAGCCGTCCTGGGTGGCGGCAGAGCGTCACCACCTGTCCCAGTCACCCCAGGGCCTGGTCCAGATGCCCAGGAGGAGCTAGGGCGGCTGAGCATGGGCAGGGCTCGCCCTGGGCCTGGAGCTGGGGCTGGCTCAGCACCCACTCTGACAGCAGGGTACCAGAGCTGGGGTGCTGCTGGCAAGGCCCCCGAGGCACTGGCGCCCTTCCGTGCGCTTTGCCACATTAGCTCATCTAATCAGCCCGCTGACCCCGCCAACCCCACGAGACCCTGCCGGCAGTGCTGCGGTTCCCTCGTGGACAGACACAGACCGGGACTCGGAGGCGTGGAGCGCTGGGGAACTGGCCTGTCCACGGCTGGCCCACAGGACTCAGGGCCGACTCCTCCTTCCCTAGGCCCAGCACTGGGTCTGTCCCTCTTGTCCCGCTGCCACCGGGCACTCAGAGGTACACTCGGGGAACCAGGGACCCGGACATGCTGTTGGACAGGAGGCCAAAGGTGCGCCAGCCTCCACCGGGAGGAGTCCCCGCCGCCCTCTGAGATGGGACCCCGGCAGGTGGTGGGCTGGCAGTGGCCTGGGTACAGTCAGTGAGGGAGCCCACGGGGGGTGGGCAGAGAGGGCTCGGAGAGGCAGGAGCGGAGAGTAACTGCACAGAGCTCAGCGCCGGCGGGAAACCGAGTCCTGTCCAGAGCTTCCGGCGCACCCTGGCACCCGGCACTCACCATCAGGAGAACCCCGAAGAAGGACATGAGGTAGCCCGCCTGGGCAGCCTCCAGCTGGAAGAAGTCCATGCAGATGACAGAGAACATGATCATGAAGAGCCCTAGGTGAGGGGGCAGTGTCAGGGCTGCCAGGCTGCGAGGCTGTGCCACCTTCCCCGTCTGCTGGCCACCCAGGGTCCCAGGGGCCCTGACCACAGCGACTGGGTCAGGGAGGAGCGTGTGACCCCAGCTGGATCAGGGCGCCTTCCCCGTGTGGCCAGGTCCCAGGCGCGGGGCACGCTGCCCTCGGGGCTGCTGTGACCGTGGGCAGGAAGGGGCTGGGGGGCCACGCCTCCAACAGGGTGCCCTTCCCAATGAGGGCGGTTGGGAGACGGGGTCCCAGGCCTGGTGATGTGGGAGGATGTGGCCCCAGACCCACCAGTGGCCCCTTTTGCTGAAATTGACGATGTGGTTCCAGTCCCCGGGCGCCAGAGCCGGCCCGAGTCAGACAGGCCCGGCTTCCCCCCAGCCCTGAGCTCCCGCAGCTGTGCCAGGAGGAGCTCTCTACCCGAAAGCCCCTCACTGACTGTGCCGCCGCCCCCGGCCTCCTGGTGAGAGCACCCGGGCAGGGCCGCGGGGGGCCCCGGGCACCACTGCAGTCAGAGCCGGCCTCGGGTCCACCTCTCACCAGGCGGCCGATACGGGAGCCCGCCAAGGGCGAGTTCACCTTCAGACTCTGTCTCCGCCTCTCAGACTGTCCCCAGGGGATTGGGAGGTCACAGGCCAGGGGGCCTGAGCAGCTGGAAGGCGGGGAGGTCACGGTGCCACCACACCTGCGCGAGCAGGATTGTCTCCCCCTCTGGGACAGGTGTGACCGGATTCGGCCCAGGTGAGGCTTGAAGAGAGAGGGCTGGGGCAGGAAACACGGGACAGGGGGAAGGGGCACGGCCTTGGCCACAGACGCCCCTTCATGGCTCCCAGTTCTCAACTGTGCCAGGCTCTCCATGGCCGGCGCAGCCCGGGACTCACCTGAAGGGAAGCCGGAGATGACCTTGACAAGGAACACAGGCAGGACGCCTGGCTGCAACAGCAGGCAGGTGATGGCCTTCAGGTCAAACACGCTGGCCTTGGGAACGCCTGGGACACCCAGGGAGACCCATCAGACCCACGCCCACGTCCTCGCCCGCCTCGGCCTCAATGCCGCGGGCCAGGCTTGCAGGCGTCGAGGCCTCAGACCCACGAGGTGGGGCGGCCCCCCTCCCGCTGGCTCCGACACCTGCTCGTGGGAACAGGAGCAGGTAACACCAGCAGCCCCTCTCCACTGGCCTCCTGGTGGGCGCCGGATAACTCACCCCACCCCCAGGACTGCGCCCTCAGACCCCACCAGCCCCTGGGGACCCCAGAGTTCCAAGAGGTGCTCAGAAAACACAGGCCTCTGCTCTGAAAGCCTGGCCCGGTCCTGGGCACGGGGGAAGGAGGCCCTCTCTCCGCCAGCTTCCCTGCGTGGGCCGCTGTGCCCAGCCTGGCCCAGGCCCGGGTGAGAGCTCCAGCAGGGGAGGCGGCCGCTGGGGAGGAGGGCCGCTCTCAGTGCCGGGCGACCACCACATCCTGACCCAGGGGCCACTTTAGAGCACTGTGTCATTGGCCTCTCAGCTGAGCATGGCTGTGACCCCCTCTGCCCGACTGTCCTGGGGTTTCCTGTAAGCAGCCTTCTCTGCACTTCACAGGCCCCCACCCCAGGGCCCCACTCTCACCTTCTGGGTCCTCTCATCCCAGTCGCTGCCTCTCTCTGTCCACCCCCCACCCCGGCAGAGGCACGGGGTTCTACTCTGAGCCAGGCTGGGCTGCTTGGAGGGGACCCACCCCACTGCAGAGCCCTGGCTTCCCCTCGGGGGGCAGACGTAGAGCCCCCATGCCCTAACCCAGCTGCACTCTGCTCATCACCCCAGCACCCACCCCAAGCTGTGCTCCAGAAGCCAGCACCCGCAGAGCCCTGCTGCTCTGGGCCTCAGGGTCCTGGCTCACCCACCCGCCCGCCTGTGCTCGCTCCTTCTCCCAGGGCTGTCCTGGTGTCTCCTTGAAACACTCCCACTGCCTCGGAATCAGCCCCCATGCTCTCCTCTGACGAGGGTCCCCTCTGCGACCACCCCCAGGTTGGCTCCAGCGGTGTCAGCACCCTGAGGGGCTCAGGGAAGGAAGGAGGCGTGAGCGGCCCCCGAATCCCTCCCCGAGTCCCACATGTCTGGTCCTGGTCTTGGCAGGCTCTGCTGAAGGGAGGGCATGGCTGGGGGAGGCCTGGCCGGAGGAAGGTCCAGGTACCGGCTGGTGGGACCCGAGCCTCGGGGCTCACACTGGCTGAACGTCTGGAGCGACGTGTCTGGTGGGACTCACCTGGCTGGGCAGCCTGGGCATGGGCGCTGGCCCCTTTGGTGCTGGTGGGGATGCAGGTGAAGCTGAGGATGGCTCCCAGGAGGTTGGCCACGAGAGCCAGGAAGGCTGGACACTGGATCCTGGGGGCGACAATCATGGTCACACGGGGCTCAGGCCCCAGGGTGCAGGTGTCACCTGCAGGATCTCCCCCACTCCACCTCCAATCACACTTAAGCCTCGACTGCTGAGAACAGCTCACACCCACAGCCTGTGACCCGGAGGGCGGGGACCGGGACCCTCAGGGCACATTTATTAAGTGACAGATGCAGGAACAGTTGAAGCTCTCACCCTGACCATCACGCTGTGGCTGGGCCTTCAGCGTTCCTAGCAGGTAGGCCCCGTCCTAGAGCCAGGACGGTGAGCCTCGAGGGCTGGGGCGGATTCTCCCAGGGGAGTCCATTCTCAGCCGGCCAAAGAGTAGGAAAGGCCCCAGAGGACAGGCCTGGCGTGTGTGAGCACAGCACCCACTGCTCCTGGCCTGGCAGGTGTCAGAGACCTGGGGTTCCGCACTGCGCCAGGGGCCACTAGGGGCCTGAACTTTAGCTGCAGGCCACGTCTGCCATGAAACTGGAACCCACGTGGAGGAGCTGCCCAGATGCCTGCTGACAGAAGTGGGCGGGGCAGTGGTCCCCCCATTTCACAGAGGAGGAAACTGAGGCTCCCAGGGTCCTCAGTCCTCCCTGTGGTGGGCCTGGAGGGCTCTCCTGGGATGGGGAGTGGCAGCTGAGAAAATGACCGTTCCCCTTGGTGACAGGGCTGGAGGGGAGAGACACACCGGGCGGCATTGGGGCCAGGGCACCCGGAAGGGGCACCAGAGAACCTGGGGCGCGAGGTGTCAGTTGGGCAGGGGTCCGAGTTTGAATCTCAGCTCCATGGGATGGACCTCAGTGTGGCCTCGTCTGAGCCACAAGGAGAGGCCTGCTCTTGGCGGGCCTCGGGAGTCTCCTTCCCATCCCCCTTCCTGGGGGTGCAGGGCTGCTGGACCTTGGGAGGGGCTTGGCCCTGTAAATCCCGGGATACCACGCTCGGGCGGCTTCCCACCTGCCCACACCGCCACCAAGGTTCTGTGACCCACGGTTCCCTCGGCTTTCACTTCTAAGGAAGCCTTTCCCACCATGAGTCACAGCCTGGAAAGTTGGCCCTTGACCCCACCGGAAGGTGAAGGCGAGGACAGGTGTGGGCCTCCCTTTCCAGGCAGGCCGTCACCTGGAAACCAGGCACGGGGGCTGGCGGGTTAACCTGTCACCATTTCCCCCTGAGGGCTGGCCCAGCCCCCTCCCCGGGTGGGGAGTGGGGAGAACTTACTGAGCCAGGCGGCTTTGACCTTCACGCCTGTGCACAGCTGAACTCCCTTCCCTTTAGCAGCAGAGAAAGCTCCTATACATCCCGCGAGGGCCTTTCTCTGGGGAGCCTGACCTTCCTCCGCAGTGGGTGCCCTGTCCTCTGACAAGGCCTTGCTCTATTAAACGGCCAGTATCCATCCCCTGAAAGCAGGGAGGCCTGGCTGGAAGGAACCCTGCGCCAAGACCCCAGGGGACATTAGACCTTGGAACAAATGTGTGAGCCATTCACACGGACAGGGTAGACCTGCCCCAGACCTCACCAGAGTCCCGAAATCTGCCCTGGTCAGGGCCTCCGGGCACAGGCACTAGTGAGAGGTCAGTGTCCTGGGAGGAGCCCCCTCCCCACTGTACACACACAGACGCACACACACACACACGCACACACAGCTCCCTGGGAACCACAGGCGGGAAGGGCTGTTCCACATGGGACCAGGGAACTCAGTGGGGTCCAGACCCTCGGCCACCCCTTGTCTCTTGGGCTGGGACCTGCCCAGGCTCACACAGTGGTGAAGCTGGCACTTGTCCAGCTTGCATGGGCTTCCGCTGACCCCTCCCCTCCCCCACATGCCTGTCTCTGTCCCCCTACCCACAGTGTCTATGCCCACTGCCCACGAAGCTGGTCGTTCAGGCCTGCCCACTGCCAGGGTCCCAAACAAATGGGCCTTGCCACGGACTGGCAGCTCGTGGGTCAGCAGGCTGAAGGCCAGAGAGCGCGGGACCCCTGAGTGGCCCCGCAGTCCTCTCCTCTGGCCGGCAGGAACTGCTCTGTGACGTGAGCAGGGACACCCGGCCCGGGGGGCTGTGCCCAGAGAGAAGGGCTCTTTCTTCAGGACTCTGGCCTCAGAGGGTCAGACGTCACGGCTTGGGGCCGGTGGGGACAAAACCTGCTGTCTCTGCCAGATGCCCCGGAAATGTGGGGGAGCAGAGGCCGCCACTCATGTGGCTATTTTGGGAGGTTGGTGACAATCGAGGGGCAGTGGCATGGAGCCAAGCCACTTCTCCTGGGATCTTGATTGTGCCTTGCGTGGTGGTGGTGACTGAAGGGGCACAGGGACCCCGAGGGCCCTGGGAGGGGGGGGGCTGTCCTCCCACCTCGGAGCTCTCTGACTCCCCCAAGACAAAGTGCAAGGAGAGCGGAAAGGAGGAACACGGGGGACACTTCGCCCCAGGCCTCTGCACGGAGGGTCTTGGCTGGAATGTCCTCCAGCCTGTGTCCCAGCTGGGGCGCCTCCTACCCTGGGGACCTTCGGGGCGCAGGGTCACTGGGATGGGGCTCTGGGACCCACTGAGTGCCGGCCACAAGGGCAGCACCGTGTGTGTGTCTCGTCCGCCTGCCCTTTTATTTTGGGTCGGAGGGCTGGACGGGAGGCTGGACAGACAGCCTCATGGACACCATGAAAGGGCACCTGAGTCCTGTCCATCTCTGTGGCCACCCTGATGGGGGAATCGCCTTTCCTCAGACACAGATGAGGGCCACCTCCCAGGACACTGGGGGCTGCCTGGCTGTCCGAAGTTCCTTGTGGTACCCCTTTCTTCCCGATCGCCAGGCCCACATGACATCCCCGGGGGCCGGCAGGGCCTGGTGGTCTTGTCACCCTGCATGGGCTCCATGCTCGTGTCCTGCCTGCCAGACCCTGTCCTGCTCCAGGTGGGAAGCTCGAGCTGCCCTCTCCACCTGCTCCGAGGCTCTGAGAGCTGACCGCTGTGGCCAGCGTCCCCGGGCCCGGCTGCAGGTGGGGCTCAGGGCCTCCCAGGCTGTGCACCCTTCTTCTGTCCAACCTGGAGGTCAGGCTGGGGCCTGCGGAGACCTGGCCGCACCTTGCCCCACGCGATCCACACCCCAGAACACCGTGGCTAGGACCACGGAATGGAATTCCGTCCACTGGGATGGAACTCCGGTGGGGCCACTCCTGACCCAGGCTCCCTGGGGCTTCTGCATGTGGCCCAGCTCCCCGCAGCCTCTGTGTGCCCCAGCACCTGGCCCTCCCCTCCAACCACACTGGCCTCTGGGCCGGCCACACGCTCCTCCCAGCCCCAGGGCTTCTGCAGGACTTTCCCTCTGCCTGGAACACTATGGTGTCGGTCCCTCCCATGGCGGGCTCCCTGTCTCGGGTCTACGCTGACATCCCAGCCCACTATTCTCGGCCCCAGTGCCGTCCGTGGACTTCTTAGTGCCTGGCCCCCCAAGTGGTCTGCGGGCTCTGCGCATCCCCTGGGATGGGAAGGCAGAAGCCTGGCCGGCCTCAGCGAGCCACCTGAGCACCAGGCGGGGCAGGTGGCCCGGCTGACAGGTGAGTCACTCCTGTCTCACAGACATTCAGCGCAGCCCAAGTGCCTACTCATTAACTCCGGGGGAAGCTGATGTGTTACCAGGCGGAATCCTATCTGTATGATTAGAGTTTCCTAGGCCTTTGCCCTGACTGGGACCAGGATAAGGTCTTCCGGGGAGGCCTGGGTTCTCTGGCCCGGGATAAGGGCTGTAAATACCTGCTGAGTCCACAGGGTGCAGCCAGCTCTGGGGTCAGAGCCCGGCCACTCACCGGCCACTCAGTGCCTGGGATGCCTGCAGCGACACTAAGGCCTGGCTCTGCCTGACCTCCATGGTGGTCTGTGGCCGGACGCTCCCCCAGCCCAGCACTCACGCCCTCCTAGGCCCATACAAGTGGCCAGCAGGTGGGCATCCGCCTGAATCCTGACCACTTCGGTGGGACAGAGCCCTTGGGTCCTGGGCCACAGGCCCAGCTGTGCCCATGACTAGCTGGGGGGCAGTGGTAGGATGGCCCAGAGGTGAGGGGGGTCTCCGGCAGCCCGGACAGCCCCCACCTTTGCTTCCTCTGAGCTTGAGGCCCTCTCATCAGCAGCTCGCCCATCCTTGGTCTAACTGGTCCCCCTTCCCTCTAGGGGTGGGGAACATTTTTTCTGCCACGGGCCACTTGGATAGTTATAACATCATTTGCGGGCCGTACAAAATTATCAACTTAAAAATTAGCTATGAAAAAAGCTCCTAGACTTAGTGAATTTCGAGGCCCGCCTGCGGTTGGCTTGGCAGGGCCGGACCCAATGGTTTCTCGGGCCGGATGTTCCCCACCCCTGCTCTCGCTCAAGGCCCAGGGGAGCGCATCCTTGGCCCTGCCCAGGCTGAAAGCGGCATCCGAGACCCCTGAGGTCCAGGGCCTGCCCACCTGCCCCGAGCTGGAGGGCAGAGGGTGGGGAGGGCTGTGTCCTGATGAGGAGCTGGGGCAGCCAAAGACCCCCAGCACCAAGTCCAACACTCAGGCCAGGGTCTGCCCTGCATCCAGCATCAGCAGCTCCTGAGAGGAGGCTCCACCTTTCCTTGAACCCTGGAACCCGCTCCCCAGAACCTGGCTCCAGTGGGCTCTGCATGCTGGCGCCCACCCCGAGGCACGCGGCCGTCTTGGGGGGAGGGTGGCATAGAGGCTTCTCCAGGCTGAGGTGCTGGGCTCAGGGCCATGAGTCACAGAACTGTTCCTGCCCCTAAGGGAGCCAGGCCTCCCAGGCCTGAGCTCCAGGTTGAGCCCAAACCAGTTATACCAGTGCAGGGCACACAGCCGGCTGCCAGGGCCACTTCCTCTCTCCTCCTGTTCCCTGTGGAGGTGGGGTATGCCTGGGGCCTTTCTGGGTGGGGGTGGGGTGAGCAGGGAGGCAGGACACAAGATGGGGTGCTGGCCTTTGCATGGGGCATTAGGGTCCTGGAGTCAATTCCCCTGGGCCTTGGGTAAGGACCGGGAGCTCCACGGGGGAGCCCCACCCTCTCTGGGACCTCAGTTTCTCCACCCATCAAAGGAAATTCCAAGGATATAAAGTGCCTCAGATCTTGGGATGAAAGAGGGAAGCTAATGGAATGTTCTGGAAGGTGAGGGCAGGGGCGGTGGTGGTCTGGGGATGCTCTGGTCAGCAGCTGGGCTGGAGAAAAAGGCAGGTGGTCACAGGAGGGAATGGTGGGCAGGGCTGGCAAGGGGAGGCCCGAGCACCCCTAGGAGCGAGCGGGGGCTGAGGGGCCCACGGCGCAGGCGAGAATACCGGGTGAGGTGAGGGAAGGTGCCAGCGGGAGCAAGAGCTGGGCTGGGAGGCGAACCATCAGCCTGGGAGGCTGAGAAAGTCCCGGAGGGTGGGCGGCATGGATGGGGGCTCCTCCCTGCCCTGCCCCTCCCGCTCCTGCACCCTCTCCACGGCCCTGAAGCCCCCTCCTCGCTGCAGCGCCTGCCCCTCTTTCTTGTCTCCCTGGGGTGACAGAGGCCCTTTTCCCCTGAGCCTGAGCCTGGGCCTGAGCCTGATCCTTCATGGAGTCAGGGCCTGTGCAGGCGGAATCCTTGCTCGTAGGCGTAGAGGGTCCTCCCTCCTCGACCAGCATGCTCCTGGCCTCCACATGTTCTCAGAGATCTTTTTTCCTTCGGGTCCTCGCCGCGTCTCATTTTTGACACCCTCCCCCCCTCGATGGGAACCAGCTCCCAGGGCTTAGAAACCAGAAACAGGCAGCTGCTCTTGCCCGGCCCGGACTCCTTCACCCATGGCCCGCCCCGCCAGCCCCCCAGGGGCACCGGCCTTAGCCTAATGAGGCCCCACACCCCCTGGTGCCCCAGGCTGCTCAGACCTCCCCACAGCTCCCCCAGGGCCAGCCGGGTGGGCGCAGCCTTGAGTTCACACATGCATCCCGCCCGATAGCAGAACCAAGCGGGAGCCTGTCCCCTGCCCTCGGCCCCCACCCGGCAGCCACCCGGGTCCGGCGCCGTCCTGTCCTGCCTGACCCAGTGCAGTAGCTACCCCCTGGTCTCCCTGCGCGGGCCCAGCCCCCACATTCTCCAGGCAGCCGCCGGGTTACACGTGCCTGCTCCCGCCTGGCCAGGGCCCCACCGCCTGCTCCTCCCGGTCCCCTCCCGGCTCTTCCACTGGCACACGGCTCCTCCTGCCTCTGCCCTCACCATCTGGAGGCCGGGCGTGCGGCCTGACTTTATGGGAACATGTGTCGTATTCATTTCGTCCCAGGCCTCGGCCTGTCTCGTTTGCCACTGTCTCCCAGAACCCGGGGTCCCGGGGGCACCGAGGAGGCGCCCACAGACATTGCGAGGGAACATGAGTGAGGGAGTCCTGCCCTCCTGCCGCTTAGCGGAGGATTCCCGGACCCAGGCCCTGATGAAAATGCTGGGGACAGGGACAGGGGCATGGCGGAGGGAGCCAGATGGCACAGGGCCTCTGGCCAGAGGGCAGGTCGGGGCTTCCACCCACAGCTGGGCCCGGCAGCCACCGCCGGACCCAAGCCAAGCACCTGGGCCTGCGTGAAGGCAACGGGCAAGGTTGACTCCTGGGGAGAAAGCCGATTTTGAGGGGGTGCTGGGGCTCTTCCGGGGAGGCAGCAGTGGGGGTGGGCCGCATGGGGGCCCTGATCTCCCTCCAGAGTCAGGCTGGGCCTCTAAGGGCCAGGCATCTGGGTCCGAGGTTAAGCTCTTCCCTGAGGTGCCCAGGCCAGTGGAGCAGCCAGGTCCGCACAGCACGGTCCACCCTGCAAACCGCTGTGGGAACCGCTGGCTGGGGCTCTGGGGTGTGGGAGGGCCTTGGACCTCTGGGTGTGCAAAGCTGGTGCGTGTGTGGCGGGCGATGGAGCCTTGGTTTCACTCACAGCTACGGAACCACCCACAAGCTGTCCTCGCCCTCTAGAGGCTCAGGGCTCAGCATCCCCAGGTGCCCGTCCAGTCATCCCGGGACGTTCCCTGCAGGGCCCGCTGTGGGTTTCCTTTAGGAAATTAGGTTTCCTAATATCTGTCCGGCTGGGTGAGTCTCCCAGCCTGGGAGTGCCCTGGGACAAGCGGCCTGACGGATCCTGTGCCTGCACCGGGCGGGGCTGGGGCTGCATCTCCGGTGATTGCACCCCCTGCCGGCTGCGTCTCCCCACTGCAGGCCCCTCCCACCGGGTCATCCTCCGCCAGGCCCAACCTGCTTAGCATGCAGATGGGGAAACTGAGGCCGGGGAGGTGGCGGAGCTGGGCCCAGGTCCTGGAGTGTGGAGGTGCGGAGCCCACCCGGCCTCGGCCATGCTGACCACACTCCCACCGCCCTTGCAGGCCCGCCCCCAGGCCAGGTCCTCACCCGCCACTCACCCGCAAGTGGTGCTCAGGGTCCCGCCGATCAGGGAGCCGAGGATGGTGCCGGTGCCGAAGCAGAGGCCGAGCCGGCCCAGGGCCGCGGGCCGCTCCTCCGCCGCAGACAGGTCAGTGATGACCATCTGGGCGGCTGCGGGGAAGCGGGGGCTGAGCGGCATGGCCCCTCGCTGGCCCCTGTGTGGGCCGGGCCAGGCCGCCATCCACCCCGCAGCCAGTCTTGCTCTGGGTCCAGACTAACATCTCTGGGGTGACCTCCGCGCCACCCTCGGGCTCAGGCCCCCGGCCCCACCCGCAGTGGCCCTGCTTAGCCCTACCTGGCAGCGTGTGCATGAGCGGGGCTGGCAGGCGCGAGGCGAAGAGCAGGGCCACGCCGGGCAGGGCCGGGCTGCAGGCGGCCGCCAGGAGCAGGTAGAGCGCCGAGGCCGCCAGGAAGGAGACGGTGAACGCGGCCCGGGCCCCGCGCTGGTCTGCAAACCTGGAGGGCGACACACCTGTGGCCCTCACTGTGGTCGGGCAGGGTTCCCCCTCCTCTGGCCCCTCGCCCACCCCCTGGGACTGCGGGGCTCCCACAGGGCTGATCAGGGAGACCCCAGGGCTGTGAGGGTCGGGGAGGCCTGGGTCTGGGCCCCTGTTTTGCTGCTGGGCCTCCCTCCTGCCAGGGCCTCAGTTCCCCCAGCCTCCCAGCGGGGTAACTGTCAGTGACCTCGGGGTGTCCGACCCAGCCCGGCATTCCCACCCCATCTGAGAATAACCTGTGGGATCCGAGGGGACCCAGGATGTCCGAGTTTTACAGAAAGTGTGTCGCAGGCTTCGCCTGTCTTCCCTGTGCTCCAGGCTGAGCCCTGAACCCCTCGGGGACCTTTGTCTGCCCGGTTTACTGCGCCCAGCGCCCCTTGTCTGCGAGTTGCTCTAAGGACCTGGCTGTCACCACACTGCTTTGTCCGCTGTGGAGTGTGCAGGGGGATGAGACCAGCGGGGCCGGAGGCTCCCCGTGCCCGGAACTGCCTTCGCCAGCAAGTAGCAGGTGGCCCCCAGCTCAGTGGGGCTGGGCGTCAGCAGCCGCCAGTCTCACCATTGAAATCCTCACAAACCAGAACTAGCGGAAGTCCTGGGTGGGGACACCCTGGGAGCAGGGGTGACACCCATCTTGAAAGGGACTGAAGCTCTCCTGGGCCTCAGTGTGTTGCTCGGTGAAATGGAAGCTGCCATCGCCCCGTTGAGGCCCAGCGTGAGGTGGGGAGTCTGTCAGGACCCGGCCCGTGACCTCCGTGGGGCAGGCCCACCGTACCTGCCGAACATGGGCCCACCCAGCAGCTGAAGCACCCCGAAGGTGGTCTGCAGATAGCCAAAGGCCACGGAGTCCAGGCCTAGCCTCCGGGACAGGTACTGAAACACAGGGGTGGCCCCTGGTCAGGGTCTGGGAGGACCCTGGGGTCTGGAATCTGGGGTCCTCGGTGGTCAGGGAGTGGAAGGGGTAGCCCCGCAGAGGCTGGGAGGGGACCGTGGACCTGCCCGTGACTGTTCTGCGCTGTGCCCGGGAGGGGGCTCAGGTGCTGGTCTTAGAGGGGGGAGCCCGTGGGGACCTCTGGGTCCAGGGTCCAGGGAGGGCTGGGTGAAGACAGCGGCTGGCCCCTTTCCCCTCCGTGGGGTACACCTCACATGGGTGAGAAGAGGCACCCAACCCCCACCCTTTTGGCTCCATTCACTCAGAGCTGCCCGGATGACCTCCAGGGGGCAGCTCATTTCCCAGCAGGCCCTGGGCCTGTGGGTCTCCAGCCCCTCCTGAAGGAGGCCCGTCTGGGGAGGTGACCAGCATCCCTCCAGGGAACCGGAGGAGGTGGGGACCCAGGTCTCCTTGACGTCAGTACCCCTGCAGCTGCTCCTCACCCTGCCCAGACCTCCGAGTTCCCGGCCCCTCCCTCCGGTGATCTTGCTTTTAATGGGTTGAATTTTGCACCCCCCCTTCCCAAAGGTATGTTCAAGTCCTGACCTTCCGTACTCAGAACGTGACCTCATTTGGAAATAGAGTCTTTCCGGAGGTAATTAAGTTATAGTGAGGTCGTTAAGGTGGGCCCCAATCCAGGGGGACGGTGTCCCGTGTAAAGGGGGGTTGGACACACAGGCTCTGGCTGGAGCACACCGGCCACAGCCAGCACGGACTGTCTGCTGCCACCAGAGGCTGGAGTGGAGGGAAGGGCCCCCCCCCACTCCGGGCGTCAGAGGGAGGCCGGCAACACCTGGATTTGGACTTCTGGCCCCAGAACTGGGAGGCAGTCAGCTTCTGATCCTCTGAGCCACCTTGTTTGGGGGCAATCTGACTCCTCCCCTAACCTGGGCAGCTGAGCCCGGCTGTCCGGCTGTCCTCTGCGCACCTGGACAGTGGTCGCACATGACCCTAGCAAGCCCGCATCCCACTGTAGCCGCCTTTTCCCCCCAGCACATCCCAGCCTGGGCCTCCTCAAGGGCAGGCTCTGGGAGGGCTCCCCCCACATTCTCTCTCCCATAGAGGACGCCCCCCCCCGTCTTTCCACCCTTCCTCTCCCCTCCCCTTGTTCCCTGGGCTGCAGAGCCCCTCTGAAGAGCTGCCAGGCCTCCCTGCCTCTTCC